CCCCTGCCCTGGCCTCTCGGACCATGCCCCGCCGTTTACGGGCGCGCAAAGCCCCCAGCAGCTTCGAGCCTCTCCGAGACCCGGCTCCCCGAGGCTGAAGCCCGCGAACCCGCGGACACTGGACTGGTCTCCCAGACCCGGATCTCCAGACTCCGATCTTTGCCCGCTTCACCCGCCTCCGCCACCATCTGGGCGGGAGACGGGTCTGGTGTTTTTTTTGGGGGGGTGTGGTGTAGGGAAAGGAATCCTGGGGATTTCTGCCCCCCCTTTTGGCCTTTGGGGCTTCAGACTCAGGGAACTCGCTCATGGCTTTCTTGATGAAGAAGAAGAAATTCAAATTCCAAACCACTTTCACCCTGGAGGAGCTGACTGCGGTCCCCTTCGTGAACGGGGTCCTCTTCTGCAAGGTCCGGCTGCTGGATGGAGGAGATTTTGTCAGTTTGTCGTCAAGGTGAGAAGGACCTGGAACATTTTCTGCCTGCAGGGGAAGCGGGCGACTAGATCCAGTTCCTTGGCAGTGTGCAATTTTTCCTTGGGAGGAGGGGGGTCCTAGGGGATTTGTACAAGGCAGGACAGGGCTTGAACGACAGGACAGGGCAAGGTGCCAGGCACCTGTTTGCAGGTGACCAGCCAGAGAGCTGGGAGTCTGTTTGCAGCTGCCCTTTGGAGCTCTGCCTGCAGCCCACAATAGGCCCATCTTGCAGACGTGCATGTAGTAGAGAACAGTTGGATTTCCGCTTTGAGGGAGCAGGGAAGGGATTTCCAGGCCACCCTGCACCCTGGCTGCACCTGGGGCTGTCACGATTTTGTGCTTGTGCCAGCACGGGTTGCAGGCACTCCCGGGTCTGGCTGGAGATGGTGGCTGTTTTTTTTTTTTTTTTTTTATCCTCCCTGCTTCTGTGACTGTCCTCCTGTGGCCAAGCTGGGCTGCTTTGAATTACAAATGCCCTTGTGGTCGGGAGGCTGCTGCCGGCCCAGGGCCGAGTTTGGTTTTGTGTTGATCCCCGTCCTGGCGGGTCCAGCTGCCCTTCTTATTGAGGGAAAGTGACTGAGCTCCCAGGCTGCTGGCCGCTGACTGGGCCCACCTGGGGTTGCAGCCCTTGCTTGTCTGGAGCGATCCTCAGAATCGGACACATAGGCATTTGGATCCTTGCTCACTCAGGGCTCTTGTTTCTGCTTCTGAAAACTGGGCCTGATACAGGTTCCACCATCAGAGTTGTGGAGCAGTTTCAGTAGCGAATGTATTGCAGGCCCTGGTGTTTGCTGCCTCCCTCACCCAGCCTGCCCTTTGCTCCTCAGGCCTTGTGGGGCCAGTGAGCAAGGGCCACCGCTATTCTGAGTGAAACTGAGGCCCAGAAAGAGGAAGTAAATGGCTTGCCAGGACTTCAGAGGAGGCAGTGATCGGCGGAACTTGGACCATTGGGAGACCTGTTGGATGAATCTGGAGGTTGAATATTCTGCAGGGAGCAGGGGAGCTGCACAGCCTAACCCAGATTTTGGTGTTCTGTGTGGAAAGGGTTTGGTGCCTTTTCCCTGTCCTGGTTCCCTGGTCCCCTGGGAGCTGCTTATCTGAGGAATTTGGACAAGAGCTGCCCTTTGAGGAGGGGTGGGGGTCCTTGGTTGCATGGGATCCTGCAGCCACCCCACACAGGGGCCCAGTGCTCTGAGCTAGGGCCTGGAGCTGGCCAGGCACTGGCAGGGGGATTTTGGTTGACTTAATCTAAACTATCTGATCTCAAGAGCCAGCAGTTGTTGGTCTCATGACCTTGACTGTGACCTGGAGCAGGGTAGAGGTGGGGTCCCCATGAAGGGGTGAGAACTGAGGCTCAGAGTTATTTGCCTGGACTAGTTTCCTAGTCAGGATGTGCTTTTTTTTTTTTGGTTTTTTGTTTTGTTTTGTTTTTGTTTTGTTTTGTTTTGTTTTTTGAGACAGGGTCTCACTATATAGTTGAGACTGACCTGGAGCTAGGATGTGCTTTTAATCACTACCTGGTGCTTCTTAGCCTGTTTCCTCTTGTAAACTGGAGGAGTGTGACCCACTCCTCAGGTTGTGAGGGAAATGGGCAATCTGTACCGTGCCCTACCCAGGCAAGTCACTGCTGCCTTTGTGGTTGCTATGGGCAGAGATGCCCAGGCCCAAGCCCCTCCAGGCCTTAAGGGGCACCACCTCCCATAGATCAGCCCCCCCCATGAATCTCACCAAGGAATTGACATTGAGCCCCAGGCTGACTTCTCACCTGGCCTCCCAGGCCCTGTGACCATTATCACCTTACCCATTAGCCTCTCCATGGCTCTAAACCTGCCCCTTCATCCAGGAGAGTCTGGAAAGTTCCAGATCTTAGCTCGCATGATCTGGATACCGTGTCTGTTTTCTCTTTTTCCCCTCTGGCAAGGGGCCTCTGATTCCTCAAGCCCAGCTGAGCCCAGCAGCCTTTCCCAGACCTCAGCCTGAATGAAACCTGAGTGGGGCTGTGAAGGGAGGAACTGACATTGAGGCCCCCTGAGGCTGGGCACTTAGTGGGTGCTGGGTGCCTGTTTGGGGCTGGGCAGGTGTGGCTGCAGAGAACCTGAAGCCAGTTCAGAGCTGCCTTGGCTTTTGTCCAGGGGTTGGAGGTTCCTGGGTTCCTGCTTCCTCCACCCACACCCCACCTACCCCACTACAGCCCAGGGGCCCTGGCTTATAGCCCACCCCTCCTGACTGCCATGACCCCATTGTTTACAGGTTGGGGTAGGACCTGGGGTAGCTGGACCTGTTTAGATCCTTGGCCCAGATCCAGTAGCAGTTTTCCGAAACCGTAGGAACCTCTGAGATGGCTCAGACTTGGTGCTGGCAGCTCAGACTGAAGCAGCCGAGGCCCCACCCCTGCAGCATCCGCCCTCCTAGCTGGAGTGTGCCCCCCCCCATTGGGTGCCATGGCAACAGCTGGGTCTACAGCTCCACCTGACCCAGTTTGAACAGGTAGAGCAGGTGGTGCATGGGGCTGTTCCTCAGCCTCATCTTTCCAGCACCTCCTTACAGGCAGTGATCCTCACAGCCACTATGTTCTGAGCTCCTGTGCTGAACAGCCAGGCACTGTGCTGTTTTGCAAATGGTATCCTAGGAGTCCTCTCAGTCATCTGGAGAGGCACCTAAGCCAGAGAGACAAGAAGTCACTGGGTGGTAAATAGCAATTGGAAAATAATTTTTCTATCATTGTGATTCAAACCAGCTTTGAATGTACATTTGCTGTATGCCAGGGATTTGTTGAGCCACCTCCAAAGCATGCTCTGTTGAGTCCCCACAGCCCCCCATGAGCTGAGGCTGTTGCCCCTGTTTGCAGGTGAAGACACTGGTTTCAGGAGAGTTGAAGTGGTTGAGCTGGGTATCACTGAGCTACAGAGCAGCAGAGAGAAGACCTGATTTTGGATGGGTTGGAAGTAGCGGTAGACCCATATAGCAAGCCCAGACCTTTGAAAAAGGCTCCTTTCAGTGAGTTGGATGGAACAGGAAAGTACAGAGCTGGATACTTTGGAGGCCCAAGGTGAAGAGTCCCAGGACCATAAGGCAGGGGTGGGGTTGAAATCACTGCTGTGGATGTGGGACCAGGCACAGGCTAGCACTGGAGTACAGGAGCATTTGCTGGGGTCCCTAGAGAGGCTTCCCAGACAGATGGATCCGAATGGCATCTGGGAGGTTTTTGGGGGAGAGGGCGTCCCAGGAGGGATACAGAAGTCTTGGCCCAGTTTAGTGCATTGGAAAGTGGCTGACCTGTCTGAGGAGGCCTTTGGGCAGGAATGATCCCAGGTACCCTGAGGGCTCTGCTCCCAGCTGGTACTGGTCCTCGGCTTGCCCCTTGCATGTGGCTGGTGGTGCCAGGGGAGGAAATGCAAGGGAGGTGCTGGTTTGTGTCACGGCAAGGAGGAGAGAAAGGAGAGTATCTCCTCAACCAACAGATGGGGAAACTGAGGCCTGGCACGGAGACGTGACTTGGCAGGGTCACTCATAGGTGGAGCAAATGGCACAGCAGTTGAGCTGTGGTCTGGACCTGACCTCTGCCCCCGTACCTCAGTACTCATCTCATCTCTGCACGAAGAAGGTGGGCTGGGCTAGGAGGGGAAGGTTGCTGCAGGGGCTCCTCTAGCTCTGAGCTTGCTTGCCTGGCTGTCTGAGAAGTAACCGAGACTCGAGAGTCTGCTTCCCTGTCCTTTCTTCTTTGGCGGCTTGGAGCGCTTTGTCGGCCTTCAGTGGGGTTTATGTGGGCAGCTATCGAAGGAGTGCTGTGGTGCTCACCACACAGGCACTGCCTGCCTTCTGTGGGCGTCGACTGGTGCCCACCCAGATGGGAAGCCACAGAGGGCCGTTCCCTTGGACAGGTCAGCTGTACAGCTGGAGGCCGTTTGCCCAGGCCTGGTCCTTGCGGAGACCAAGCTGGCTGGTCTTTCCTCACACACACTTGGCAGGGTTGTGCTTCCGCAGTCCCTTGCCTGCCCTCCTTGAAAGAGGCTGTGGAATGCCACTTGGATCCACTGCCATGCAAGGCCTGCTCTCAGGAATACCTTGGCATGGAGCGGTAGGAAGGCAGGGTGGAGATTGGGTGAGGGGAGCAGGAGTGGAGAGGTGTAGGAGGACCCCTGAGATGGGCAGGACGTCCACTCTCCTGCCCAGAGTGGGGACCCAGACTCAGAGCACCAGGGAGTGCAGAGGGGCAAGAATGGGACCCCGTTCCACTCCGAGTATCCCTGGGTCCTGGGCTTCTGGAGGTGAGTGGGACCAGGCGACCATGCTCCCTGGTGGGCATCATGGGAACTTTGGAGCCACGTGGATGTGGAGCAGGTCCTTGTGGATACCTCTAGACCCTGGCAGACCAGTGGGGAGGCATTTCTTTCTTTTTTTTAATAGCAGAACATTTATTGGTACATGTGAGACATACATGATAACACTCAGTGCATTTGCTGGGGTGGTGTTTCCGCTCAGGCCTCTGACCACTCACCATCAGGCTGGGGGCCGGTCCTTGTCTTCGTTGGATTCCCTGTGTCTTGATGGGGTGCGTCATTGCCACAAGTATGGAGGGCTTCACTGGGGAAGGAGCACTTCGCGAGAGCCTTAAAGGTGGAGGGGTTGGGCTAGAAGTGGCAAGTAGAGTGCTTGCTTTGGCAGCACATATACTAGGTGTGGCAAGTAAGAGGCCCCTTGCTGGAAGGCGTTTACTTGGTCATGGAATAAGTAAGATGGAAGGTGGTGGGCCAGACTGTTTCTGGACTTGGGAGCCCTGCAAGGGGAAGGGGAGCAGATGCAACGGGACCTGATCCAGATGTGGTGGGAGCCAGTTGGAGCAGGCACTGCTGGCCTGGCCTGTCTGGGCGGTGGCAGGCGGAGTGGCCAGGTAAGGGAGGTCCTTGTCCTGAAGGCCTGGCCTTGGGGCTATTGCTTAACTTTGCTGGAAAATGGACATTCAGAGTGTCCAGAATGGC